CCGCCCCGGCGCGCGCGCACGTCCGCCCGACGCCGCCTGACGCCGCCCGACGCCGCCCGACGCCGCCGTACGCCCGCAGCGCAGCGCGCCGCGGCGGGGGCGGGGGCGGGCGCAGAAGCGTCGTGAATCGCGGGCCTAGCGGCGGTGAGTGTGCGCTTTTCCCGGGCCCCAGCGCGCCGCCGGCATGAGCTACGACCGCGCCATCACCGTCTTCTCGCCCGACGGCCACCTCTTCCAAGTGGAGTACGCGCAGGAGGCCGTGAAGAAGGGCTCGACCGCGGTGAGCGGCGGCCGGCGGGGCCTGGCCCACGGGCCCGGCGTCGCGGTGGCGGATGCGGGGCGGGGGGGAGCCTGGGGACGGCCGTGCCGACGGCCCCCCCTTGTCGCAGGGGTGCGTCCGGTTCGGGTGGCTTTGTGGGGTGGGCACGGCGGCGTTAGTGGGACCCGGGAGCCGGTGGTGGTGCTGCAGGAGACGGGAGGGGCGCGTTTACGAGCCGCGGGTGCCGGGCCGGCAGGGAAGCCCGCTGGCGCTGCCCGCCGGGCGGCGGCCGCTCACCCGAGGGCGGTCGCGGCGGACGTGTGCTGGCCAGCGGCTTCAGGGTGCGTGCTGAGCTGCGGAGGAGCGGTGCTTTTCTTCCTCGGGTAGTTCAGAGTGTGGGAGCGGCCTAGGGGACGGCCATTTTGGCGGGTCACCCCTGCACGGCCCTGGGCCCTGCCCGTGCACCTCGGGCAGCAGGGAGGCCCGGGTGCTGGGCACCGAGCAGCAGGGCCGGCTCGTGGCGGGCTCAGTGAGTCCTTTCTGTGAGCAACTTAGGGGAACCGCACCCTGAGGTTCCCACTTAAGGACTTCCCCCGCTAGGGAAAGGGCTGTCCTCAAGGTCCGGGTGGGCTTCAGGAACCAAGGGAAGCGGGTTCTGTGTATCGGCGGTGCCGCAGGGAGCCCTCCACCGTGTTGGGCGGTGTGTTGATGCATTTTCCTGTTGGCGTCTGAGCACAAACTTGCCGTTTTGACCACCATTTGAAATTTAAATTCGGGATGTCTTTGAGACACCTGTCGGTTTGCTTACTGGTCAAACTGTATGATGGTCTTTGTTGGTTATTTTTTTTTTTTTTTATCACCTGTTGTTTCAGAGATTTGAGTCAGAACAGAGAGAAAGTATCCATAACTCTGAAGTGTAAAGTGTTTTTGCTTACTGAATCTTTTGTGAAATTAAGGTCCAAAATCCATCTTGTGACCTATCTTAAGTTAAAGAGCACTGGAAGCTGCTTGGGACATTCCCCCATCCCCTCGTACTCCCTCAGGCCAGCCAGGGTGGCTGGCCTTGCTTAATCCTCCCAGTGCCTCTGGGCCTGGTCCCCCCCCCCCCCCCAGGGAATTTAAGACAGGAGAGCCAGCCTCAAAATCTGAAACACTGCAAACCAGTACTTCTCGACTGCAAGGGGGTGGGGGGGGGCAGGATTTTGCACCCCAAGGGGCATTTGGCAATGGGTGGAGACATTCTTCTTTGCCCTAGACTGTGAAGTGCTACTGGCTGACCTTTAGGGGTACAGGTGGGGAGGCAGTCCCACTTCCAAAGAATCAGCCAGCCCCAATGCCCATAGTACCCTGGTTGGAAAATCTGCTCTAAGCTAAGTCTTGTTACTCTTCTAAGTGTTGTCCCATTCGTATCTGCTCCTGCCCTGATGAGGGACAGTTAACTGGCCATTGGGGATTTTTCCACGTTTTTAAAACATCCCTCTTAAATCTACAGTATCTGCTAATCACAGACAGCAGTTGAGTTCCCAGGAGGAGTTGTTATGGTTCTCCTGCCACCTGACGGCAAATCAGGCCTTCCCCACAGCTGTGCACATCAGTGTGTCATCGTGTAGGAGGGAGTGGGGTGGGTTTTAGTACAATTTCACAACTACAGAAACACTGCTTTCAGAGCATTTGACTTGAACGTCAGGGTTTCGGGCTTAAAAACCTTGTATGTGACTCTTTGATACAGTAGTTACTTATATTGATTGTAATTGAAACTGTGTATCAGTATGTTCAAGGCAGAGGACTGGGCACCCCGGTCATGACACCTGGGCTAGCTCTGCCAGAAATGGATCAGCATCCGTGATCTGCAGGTGTGGTGTCCAGCCCCAGGGTGTTCCCAGGACCAGGTTACCATCTGCTTAGTGTTCTGTGCCTCCTGGGAGAAACTCTTGTCACTTTCTTAAGTACCGTGTTGACTTTTATTGAAGGTTGGCGTGCGGGGAAAGGACATTGTTGTTCTGGGCGTAGAGAAGAAGTCAGTGGCCAAGCTGCAGGATGAGAGAACTGTGCGCAAGATCTGTGCGTTGGATGACAACGTCTGCATGGCATTCGCAGGTGAGTCTGAGGCCGGTGCCCTATTTTTCAGAGGTCAGTAACGATCAGCCCTTTGGAGGCTATCTTGGTGGGTTTGCTCTTGGAAGATACGGAAATTGGTAAACTAAAAATCGTTTTAAAAACAGTAGATTTGGACTTGTGGAAACAAAAAAAAGGCTTCACCATGCTTTCTCGGGGTGCCCTCTGGATCAAGGCCTGTGCTGTTGCCAGCGCGTGACTGGATCGTAGTTAAGAGTCTCGAGATAGGTTTGGCTTTCCATGGCCATGGCACCCTGCTGTGGGGGTGTGCAGGGTGCTCTTGCCGTTTACGTGGCTTCCTGCACTCCTCCCTGCAGGTCCACTGTAGGAGGATCCCAGTTCACCTGAGCTAAACTAGGGATTGACTTGCTTTGAGCTGCTCACACAGGCCGATCGTTGCACCCAGATGACCACAGAGCCAGGTGTCAGAGGAATGGTTTGAGTGCAACTTCTGTCTGGCCACGGGGCCCGGGCCATCCTCAGTGGGAGGTGAGGTGTGCGTCAGGGGGCGTTCTCTGCTCTTGCAGGGCTCACTGCTGACGCGAGGATAGTCATCAACAGGGCCCGGGTGGAGTGCCAGAGCCACCGGCTGACAGTGGAGGACCCAGTTACCGTGGAGTACATCACCCGCTACGTCGCCAGTCTGAAGCAGGTGGGCCCCCGCCTGTGGCTCGGCCCTGCCTACAGAGCCGTCACTGCTGTGCCACGGAGGGCCCTGCCCCAGTAGTTCACGTTACTGTGTGTGTGTGTTTGCACGTATCACTTCAGGGGAATTAGACTGCCCTGACTTTGTGCACAGTCCTGCTCTTTATTCGTACAAGTGTAACTTTCTACAGCTTACCCACTTCGGTGGCATTATTCTCATTTAGTGGCATGGGACAGTCCTGGAGGGAGACGGTAGTTTTTGTCTTGATGTCCCGTGTGACTGGCTAGCCAGCACTTGGGAGATGCTGAAAGCCACCCCCACCTCATGATGAAACGCTAGTCATTTTAAAACCAAGTGTAGCGAGAAGTGTTTGTTGTCAAGAGTAGTTCCAGTGGCCTTGGTTGTGCTCTGTGACACAGTTCCGCTCACAGGTCTAGCTTTCCCGTCTTTCTGAGCGAGAACGCACAGAGGGCAGGAGGACTGCTGAGCGCCGTGGCCTCGGCTCATTCGTCATTTGCGTTGCAGATAACCTGAGAGCATCTCCATCCCCTCAGTGAAACCACAGCTCTTCTGAATGCCGTGTGTGTTGCTTAGGGTGGGTTCTGGGGGCCTTTTCACGATGAGAAGGTAGCATTAACATGTTCCTTTTCCCACCAGCGCTATACACAGAGCAACGGGCGCAGGCCGTTTGGCATCTCTGCCCTTATTGTGGGTTTTGACTTTGACGGCACCCCCAGACTCTACCAGACTGACCCTTCAGGGACATACCATGCCTGGAAGGTGAGTCCCTGACCAGACAGGGTCTTCGGGTGGTCTTGCCAGTGAAGGAGGTTGCAGAGGCCAAGCTGGTGGCTCAAGGTGGCCTTGTCTTCCCAGTGCCTGTGCACACGTACACACTACCTGTCTGCTCCACGATATTTCTGCTGGTAATGGGAGCAAAGAAGTCATGACGCTTGCTCTTTGAGACAAAGTCCAAGCCACAGTGAGGCGTGGGGATACATGGCATAAAGTCAAATTGCACAGGTGTTTTCATTCATGAGAAAGAATCCCACTCTTAGTGAGGATCAGCACCAATTCCAAAAAGCCCTTTGGGAAAGGAAGCCATGGAGCAGGGCCTGGAATCTACCTGCTGCCAGGCTCCCTCTCACTGGGACCCATGGCTGGCCTCGGCAGCCATGGCCACGTTCTTGGGCTGGCTCTGGATTGTCGTGCCTTATACCACATGACACATTTTTGTTTCAGGCCAATGCCATAGGCCGGGGCGCCAAATCTGTGCGTGAATTTCTAGAGAAGAATTATACTGATGAAGCCATTGAGACGGACGACCTGACCATTAAGCTGGTTATCAAGGCCCTCCTGGAAGTGCGTTTGCATTTGAACACCTGGTGCTTGGGCTAGGCAGGACGGAGGGCACAGCAGTGGGCAGCTGGTGCACAGGCAGCAGGAGGGGAGGCGCCGAGAGTGTGGGCGGTGACGCTGGGCCCCTGAGGGCGTGCTCTGACTGGACGCTGCCCCGGTGCTCCAGCAGCTCCTTCCCGCGGCCAGAGCGATCAGGGACCAGGTCTGAGAGCACACAGGTAAGGAGAAGCAGAGGCAGGACAGGAACCACCAGGGGTGGACTCTGCCACTCAGAGCCCGCCCAGCCCTGCTGAGGTTCCTGCTGCCGCTGAGGTTGGGGAATTAGAACGGAAGACGGTGCCTGGGAGTCATGAGGCCTTGGGCTGCGCCAGCACTTCAGAGGTGCTGGCAGGTAAAGCCAAAGAGGCAGAGGGGGTGTCAGAAGGCCAGGCTAGGCTCCAGCTTTTGGGGCTTAGTGGTGGGGAGGGCTGTGAGCATAGCTGCTCTGTGGAAGAAGGGGCTGGGGCTGCAGGGTGTCCCACCCTCTCCCCTTAAGGGGCAGTATTTGAGGCATTTGTCAGAGCTGTGTGGCCATGTCTAACGTTATTCTCTTCCTTCCAAGGTGGTTCAGTCTGGCGGCAAAAACATTGAACTGGCTGTCATGAGGCGAGATCAACCCCTCAAGGTAATCACCAAGTTTATTTGCTGTCTTTCACTCTGGGGCATTCCCGGGGGTGGGGGGGGGGGAGGGACCCTTGTCCTGCAGCTTCAGTGCTAGGAGAGAGGTTTTCCCAAGGCCCCCCACAAATGATGTGCTCTTGACACACTGAAAAGCTGTCAGCAGCCCAGCAGATATGCTTCTGCTTTTCTGTTGCCTACAGGCAGGCTCAGACTGTTGTCACCTGGATCAGGTGCACCCAGCCTGGTTTTCCTGTAGAAGCAGCTGTGAGGTGCAGTCTGGCCCGAGCCCAAGAGTTCCCTCCCCAAAGGCGGCACTGGTGCTCTGGGGCACCTTGTGTGGCTTGGGGGCTAACTGTAAACTTTCTTCGGTAGATTTTAAATCCTGAAGAAATTGAAAAATATGTTGCTGAGATCGAAAAAGAGAAAGAAGAAAATGAAAAGAAGAAACAAAAGAAAGCATCATGATGATGAAATCTTAGTGATTTTCAAATTCAGATCATGGATGATTCTCAAAATGATATGTAGGCATTTCCATTCCATTTACTGTCCACGTGTCCTGCAATAAATTTCCGTATTTGTTAACCTTTTCTTAAAAGGATCTGTGTCTCGGTGGAATTATGACAGCTCCGTAGAGTGGAGTCTTCCCCTCACCTTGCGTCTCGGGAGTGCTGTCCTTAGTGGGAGCTCTCCTTCATGTTCCTTGTCACCAGGCTCTGAGACTAGCCACTGGTGGCGGGCAGGGCGTGTCCACCTTACTGGTTTGTGAGTCCAAGCCACTCTACAAGGGCATGCAGAGTGTGATGGCTTCTGTAGACAGAGGCACATAGCACTTCACATGGACACAGAAAACTCCCGTTTCCCTCCTTTAGAGGTTCTAACTAGACCGACCTTGTTCCTTATAGACGCTCACGCAAGTTCCTAATTCACACAGAACATGAAGGACACAAGCACGAGCAGCACTCAATTAAGTGTTTGAATTCAAAATTCTGCAGAGCAGCTGCTGTGAACAAGTCCTGTATTTCTGGTTTGTAGTAGATCAAGTCTTAACGTTGCTGTCCCCTCCTGCAAGATTCCTGGTGCTGACGGCCCCCTGCTCACTCTCTCTCTCTAGCCAGTGACTGCCCTGCTTTCGTTCAGCCTCAGTCCTGGCCCTCAGCTAGGTCTCCACAGGAGACTCTTAACCCCCTTCGCCCGCAGCTTTGCTGCTTCACGGGAGGCTCTGCTACCAGGCCTGCTGACAGAATCCCCTTCTGTCTCCCTGTGCCCCGAGGACGTGGCACAAAGGGCTCTGCTTCCCACTCAGTCTATAGCTTCTCTTGCTGAGTTCTCACTGAATGGCGCGTACACATTCTATCTTCTAAAAAGGAATAAAAAGGCCCAGGTAGATTTTAAGTTCACCATAAAATATGTAATTATTAAAATGTCAGTTTAAAATTTTCATAGCAAAGTTAGTCATAGTGGTAATCTGACTTGACTATATTTAGATTTGCTAGCAGAAATACCTGTCTAGTGCAACTGCTGAGTCACCTACTTAGTTTAGAATCAGCGCCCCGGCTACCTGCATCTAGCATGTACGCTATGGAAGATTTTCATTTCTTCTTGGCCACGGATGTTCCTTGTCGTACCCACCCCTGCAAAGGAAGGTTGCCAAGAATTTGTTGAAATTTTGAAAGTGACAATGGGGCCCTGATGTTGCAGGCTGACTCCCCTGCTGCCTGGTCCTGCTCTGGGTAGGCACGGAGGGAGATGCGACACGGACGGGATGGGCCTTATGTCGTCTGACACTGCTTTCAGAGTCAGCCAAACCCACGACAGCGAAATGGGCTGCTTTCATGCATGGTACTGGTGCTGGGGTCCAGGCCCGTAACAGGCCTGACGGTACCAAAGATGTACAAGCTCTGGGGAGCTTGGAGGTTGTAGGAAAGCAACAAAGGGACCACTTCTGAAGCAGGTTTATCTGTGAACTGAATTTTTTAAAACTAGTTTGTGTCCCAAGTGTCTGGAAAGCAGAGCCACTCATTCCAGGGAGGTGGCCCGCTGTGAAGTTGGGCTGACCCATGCCCTTTCTCCAGAGCAGCCAGGGCAGTCTCACTCGAACAGATGTCCCCCAGGATCCTACCAGCCTGAGGCCGGAACATGCCCCAGGACGGGCGAGTCAGACATGAGGTGACTCAGGCAGCAGAATCAACAGAACTATTTACTTTCAGAGCAGTGAAGAAGAAAAGTTTTAAAGGTTTGCATGTTTATTTATAATTACAATTTACATTACTCCAACAGAGCAGCCCATTGCTATGTTCTAATTCTTAGCCATTAAGTCCTAGAAAAATAAACCCAAGCTTTTACAGTAACTGAATCAATACAGAACTAAAACCTTTATAGCTATTTAAAGGGGTTTAGTTACCAAGGTGCTTATGTTCAACACAATGCCCGCTCCAGCAGAAGGGCGCATGCTTACACTAAAGGTCTGACCCATTTACTCATGCAACAAATTTATATTCCCCACCCACCCTCCACCCACGGTAAAACAAAAACACAACTATTTACAATTGAGAAGAAATATGTTCTTGGTCAACTGACCTTGCAAAAAAGACTGGCTCATTTCCAAGTGGATGAGACACTGAACAGTGGCCAGAGTCCAACACTGACTGGCCTGGGTCTGAGGATGGCAGGGGCAGGGCAGGAAGGATAGGTACCCCACAGGGGGGCTTGCCCTGGGCTTTGGCCCCCAACCCCGATTCCTATGGAAGTCAGGCTCTGAGCGACAGTTCCTAGCTCATGTTCAGGACCCCTTCCTAAGCCTCCAGGATTCTCCCTCTTCCCCGCCCCACCCCCCACCCCCACCAGCCCTCAACCTTGACATCGCCACTGGATGTAAGTAAGGGTTGTCTGGTTTGCTTATACAACATGATCCGTGGGACACCCCACTTTCCCTGCCCTAGGGCCCACCCCCATACACACACACTCCCATGCTGGCCCTGCCTGGCTCCTGAGACCCCACCTGTGCCCATGGGGGTGTCAGGCCAGCAGCACCAGAGGCCAGCTGGGTTATAGAGATAAGCTTGGCTGCCACATTGGCCAAATGAAATTTGGTTCCACTTTAAAAAAGTCAAAGCTGTCACAAAAAACAAGCCACAAGTGAGGATCAAGCTTTTGCTCTAGAAACCTTCCAAAATACCAAAACCTTAGAATTAGGCTGTGCGCAACTAAAGAGGAAAGACAGGCCAAGATACCTCAAAGAGGTTACCCACAAATACTTCCCCCAAAACAAGTGGTTCTAACTCAGACCACGTCCAAGTTCAGTTAAGTCCAAAACATAAGTAGTAGTACGGGAATTTTCCAAACTCAGTAAACAAAGTGACCCACGTCTTCCCAGTAAGTGCAGCGTTTTCCAATATCCTCAGACACAGCTTTGTTTCGGTGCGACTTCCACAGGCGCCTGCAAGAAGGGGACAGGACACCAAGTGAGTACGCTCAGCACGTTCCGCCAGGCTGCCACCCAGCATGAGCCAGGCACACACACTTCTCAGGGAGAACAGGGATGCTCAGCCCCCCTCACACTTCAATCAGGCCCAGGCTCCCCAGACTTTGCAATCACAACCAACAATGGAAATCATCTCTGTACACACGGGGGACAGGGAGGAAGCCCCAGGGCCCACCTGGCTGGGGCAGGTCAGCACCAGGCACACCTGCAACCCATTCACCGCCCAGACCCACGGGACACAAGTCACCGGGACCTTGCTGATGTAGTCTCAGAGTCCCTGCAGGCCGGGGCGGGGAGGCTGGCTTGGGCCAAGCTGTTCTTGCTGACCACACTGAGAACGCCAGGGCCTGCCCTCCCCAGGAGCCCCCTGCATGACTGGGAGGGTCTGGGCCCTCATCTTGGCCTGGATTCCTGGAGGCTTCCCCTCTTACTGGAAACCAGAGCCAGCCGTCTCCAGCTCCTAAGCTCTTCCTGCAGAGGCTGGTTATCAGGCCCTCCCACCAGAGGACCCAGAAGCTTCCTTCCCTCACTCACCTCGGGCTGCATCCTTACACCCTGCCAGTCCCAGCTCTGTGGGAGGTTGGGTTGCGACGGGTTGTACCGTTGCCCCTGCCCCCTCGAAATCCACCCCTGAAGCTACGGCCACGAAGAAACCTTCCTGACACCCCAAAGGTCTCTGTGTTGAGCTTCCGTTCCTCAGCCCACGTAGTCCGCCTGGAACTGAAGCACAGATAGGTGCATGAGGCCAAAGGCAGCAGGACCCGCTCACCACTTTCTGAGCCAGGCCCCAGCCTCACATAGCACGGGAGGAAGGAAAACCAGGCAGGGAGTGACTGCTGCTGGAGCCAGCAGGGGTGTGACCCAGTCCCGACCCTGTAGCCAGAGAGCCAACACCGCAGGTGCTCCCAGCCACATCTCCAACCAGGTCTGTTTCTCACTGGGCTAGGCTGCTCAGCGTCAACTCTCACGCCTTTATCAACAAAGGCGAGCACGTGACACTAGGCAGTGCCCATGTGGGTTCCAAGACCCGGAGCAGACCATGGACCCCTTCAGACAAGTTTTTAGGATGTGAAGAGGGGCTTGGGCTGGATGGAACAGGGTCTCCAAGAATGTGATGCTAATGCTCTGGGAGGAGTGGGGACATGCACGCTGCCCCAGCACCCTTCATACTGAGGATGCTGCCAACACCCACCTCTGTAGCGCAGGGGAGAACCCCCAAGTCTGTTCACAGGCAGCTCACAGGCCACACACCCAGCACTGAGCTTCTGTTCTACGGCCCCCACAGGCCTCACTTAAAAGAACCAGCAGCTGCACCCTTCAGCTGCCCAGGCCAACAACCCAGAGAGTTGTGCCGGTTCTCCCCACATCCAGTCAGCAAACCCTGTCTGCTCCCCCTTCAAAGTGCATTCACAAGCCAAGCTCTCTCCTCTACCACCACTTTCCACCCTATTCCCAAACACCCAGACTACTGCGAAAGCCTCCAGATGGGCCACCCAGCCTCACGCTTGCCCACCTTCAGCATGTTCAACAGAAACAGCTGAGGTGTCAGATGGCATAGTTCCTTGGCTCCGACCCTGACAGCTGCCCATGGCTCTCAGCACATGAGCTGGTCGTCACTGTGACCTACTACTAAGCCCCACACACACACATCCCCCTTCATCCCAGGCCGACTCTCTTGGACTCTGCTCCAGCCCGTGGCAGATGCATACTGCCTGCCTTGCCCCCCAGCAGCCTGTCTGCAGAAGCTTCCTTCATTCCCCTACACGCTGACTCCCAAACACCACATGGTGTGAGACCTACACACTCAATTTACCTTTACGCTCCCACTGCCCGGCCTCCCCCGGTCCCGTTCCCGGAAGCACTTCCATCCTGGATGTGCACGTTTTTATCGTTTTCTTCCCCTGCCAGAATAGAGACGTGGGCAAGCAGGAACTCCCAGCTTGCTCCGTGCTGTGCCCTTGACACCCAGCAGTGTCTGGCACTCCTAGTGCGGAACGAATGCGTCTGGATTTCCAAGCTGTGCCCACTCTACAGACTCCACTTATCGTCCAGCTTGTTCACACGGCAGCACGTGAGCACCAGCTGCGAGGCACTAAAAATGCACGAC